TGCTTGCCTGCTTGCCTGCTTGCCTGCTTGCCTGCTTGCCTGCTTGCTTGCTTGCTTGCTTGGCTGGCTGGCTGGCTGTCTGTCGGTCTGTCTGTTTGTCTGTTTGTTTGTTTCTTTGTTTCTTTGTTGGCTGGGTGGTTTTGGTGGTGTTGTTGTTGGTGGTGGTTGGTGGTGGTCCTGGTGGTGGTTGGATGGGTGGTCGGTTTTGGGCTTTGCTGTGCATCCAGGATGGGGGCAAGCAGAGCACTCCAAAGCCAGACCTTGCCAAAGTGAAGACCTCCTCTCCCAAGCCAGCAGCCGAGCAAGTTGAGGGTTCTTGTGGTGCTGCAGGCAGAGTGAAGGCCACCTCTCCCAAGCCAGCAGCCGAGCAAGTTGGGGGTTCTTGCGGTGCTGCAGGCAGAGTGAAGGCCACCTCTCCCACGCCAGCAGCCGAGCAAGTTGAGGGTTCTTGTGGTGCTGCACGCAAAGTGAATGCCGCCTCTCCTAAGTCAGCAGCCGAGCAAGTTGAGGGTTCTCCGGGTGAGTCAGGCAAAGTGAAGGCCACCTCTCCTAAGCCAGCTGCCGAGCAAGTTGAAAGTTCTTGTGGTGCTGTAGCCAAGGTGAAGGTCACCTCTCCCAAGCTTGCAGCCGAGCAAGTTGAGAGTTCTCCTGTTGCTTCCTTTCAAGTGAAGGCCACCTCTCCTAAGCCAGCAGCCGTGCAAGTTGAGAGTTCTCCTTGTGATGGAGCCGAAGTGAATACCACCTCTCGCAAGCCAGCAGCAGACCTGTCTCTCGAGACCCCTGAGAAGACAAGCAGGAGAGTTGGCACTGCAGGGCGTGTGGGCTTTGGAGGGTGCACAACAAAAGCGAAAGTTTGCAAGGTGTGCGGTACTGGCAGGAACTCTAGTTTCCGCAATGCCTTGTGCGGAGATTGTGAGACCAGCCTGAAAAGGCGCCATGCGCGGGCCGAAGCCAACTGGACCCATGAGATCATTGAAGCAGTGAAGGAAGAGTCGGCCAACAAGCGGATGAAGCGAAGCTTGTATCCTCCATAGAGCACATGTTTCTTTTGCATCTGTTTTTATGTAGCTTGATCTTTTTCGAAAATTGTTCGCTGTCTAAGCTTCAAATTCAGAGGAGCCAGCGATGTTAAGATGACTCCTTCTGAGAGAATGATCTTTGAGTGCCAGCAAGAGATCCTGAGGCGTTTGAAGCAGTCTCACTGATTTAGACCCACTCTGTGATAGCACATGGTGGTTTGGGGCCCGGGGTTTCAAGACTGCAGGGGAGTGCAGTAGAGAAGTCGAGTGTGCAGAATGTCGTGAGGTGTGAAGCGTGTTTTTTGATGTTGTTCTGTGACTGTTCGCTCTGTGCTGTATGAGGGCGACTGATTGTTATAGTAGGTATTGCGTACTATCAAAATACTATACTACGGACTACAGATTTTCATATTTTTCAGAGTGATTGTCGCTAGCGTAGGCGCTAGAGATCCGCTAGCAGAATGTGCACGCAGATGACATCTGTGAGTAGTTCGCCTTTTGCGGCCCAAAGTGAATGTCCTTACGCTATGATGTTGACACCTGTGGAAAGAAAACGGTTGAGAGACGCAGGCCGAGATGCTTTTTACCGACAATTTGGAAAGCAAAGAGACAACAGCCTAGAAAGGAACGCGAAGCAGCAAAAGGGAGAGAATGCCAGGCGGCGAGATTTGGACAACTGGAAGAGGACTGAATGCTCCCAACGGTTTCAATCTTTGCCCAGATCCGAACAATTAGAACTTCTTCCCGAATACGAAGCGTACCACCGAGATGAGGACGCTAGAGAACGTGCTCCTGATGTGGAAATGTGTGCTGACGATCCAGTGTCTGCGAAAGAGAACTTGCCCTCCAGACGACGACGAGGTAGACGTTTGGGCAAATTCAGTACAGCAAGCAACGTTAACTGGTCCAAGAACAAGATGATACGGGACATTTTTGAGGGCCTTAATGCTCGCAAGAGTGGCGCAACAGAGATAGCCAACTTTCTTGCGCTTTTACTACGCAAAGCTGCTTCGATGTATCCGGGTCTTGCTGATGAACTTCAAACATTGGGCTTGAGCATGTCATGCCGGTGCAGGGATCTGGCCACCGTGCTCTCAGAACTTAGCCAGAATCTGCCCTCGAGACCACAAGGTGAGGACTGCTTTTGTGCAATCCGTGCAGAAGGGTTGCTTTAAAAATAGGAGGTCGGCCAAGCAATTTGGAATTCACATTTCCCGGAGAGTGTGGCGAACTGCTTCTACTACGCCCAAGCCCGTGTCTCGGTTGGGTAGGCCGAGGATTCGAGATGACCCTGCTGTGGTGGATTTGGTGAAAAGTTCTGCCCTACGAAACTCGGTGGAGACATCCAAGTTTATGTTGGTGCCTTCGCAGAATGCCAAGAGCAAGGAAGCGGAAGCTGTCCCGTGGCAATGTTCATTCTTGCTTTGGTTGTTCCATAGGGTTTTGTACGCAAGAGATCGCTATAGCACAACATGAAGATTGAAGACATGTTCATCGCCAAGGTTGTGGTGAGACGTTGGACTAGCAGCCCTTTGCAGATCTACTTGGAAGACGAGCAGTTGCTTGCAAAGATGAGCTATATGAGTTTCACGCGCATTGTACGAGCAGAGTGCCCTCATGTAAGGCGCGGGCATGGTTTGACCGACTATTGCGACCACTGCGCCATGTTCTCGGGAAAGATCTTGCCGTTCTTGGGACCGAAAAAGCTTTTTCTTCAGTAGGATTACTTTTTGGAAGTAGCGTAATGCGGGGGTTGTTGCCTTCTCCGAGTCAGGAAAGTGAACAGCTTCATTGCCAACATGCGCGCCGATCTCCATGCAACCTATGACAAGTACTTCCAGCATTTCGATGACGCAGAAACTGTTGCTTCAGACAACCCAGACCCAGCTTCCCTGTGCCGCAAATATTTGTTGTACGTCAACCAGCACACACAGAAATACAGAAAAGAGCTTCAAGCGGTTTCACGCAAGTTGATCTTCGCCTTGCATGAAAAGGAAGGACCTTTGGAGTATGAGCTGCAGTGGCTTTGCAAGCTTGTTGCAGCTTACCAATTCCACAGAGTCAGTTCCAATTTGCAAAGCGATGCCTGCTCTGCCCACATTGACGCGCTTGGGCCTGGTGAGGCCATTTTGTGGTGTGATTGGAAACAAAATTTGAGCATACCAATGACACACGTGCAGACAGGTGACCAATACTGGGCCACTGCAAGAGCAGAGGTCTCATGTTTTGGAGCAGTGCTGTTCCTAGGCCAGGAAGCAGAAAGACCTCGGAAGATCAACGTTCTCCTGCTATCGGACATAATAGAGCATACAGCGCTGGCGGCGTCACAGCAATTGAGCATTCTCGCCAAGGAGTTGCGCGATGTCTCTTCGATTACTTGTTGGTTTGATGCGGGCCCTCATTTTCGAACATATTCTTTGTTGGCCTGGTTTCCGGAAGAACTTGTGCGTGGAAAGAGCTTAAAGCTGTCTGTGAACTGGTACCTCATGTTGGCTTAAAACTACTTTTGCTGATTGTTTATGATCACGTTGTTCCTTCTCTGTTTAGAAACTCTCATTTTCGCATAGCCCCCCTGACCTAAAGTAATCGTGCAGTGAATGCGACCTTCCCACTGCCTAGGTTCGTCGAAAAGCATGGAAAAGGTTTGGTGGATTCACTGTTCAGCATGTGCAACGCCTGGCTACAACGGGCACTAAAGCATCCAAGCTGCAACATCACTACCGTGAAGGAAATGGTGTCCACCTTGAAGAGTCAAGCTGCCATCGATCAGAAGAATGATCCTGGTGGCCTACGGTATGTTGTTCGTGAGTGGGTGAGCAAGCAAAAGCCCACGCATGAGTGGGTGGGAACAGCAGATGCTTCCTTTCAGGTTACAAAGACGTACTCTGTTCGAGCAGAGTCCTTTGGAGGGACTTCGCAATATGTTCGCTGGCACAATTGCTATTTCTCTCACTCAGCAGCGCGACAGCCTACTGTTTTCATTATTGAAGCCAGTCAAGTGGCGATCAAGAACAGAGAGTGGCGCAGAGGCTTCTTCACAACGCCACGCTGGAAAAGAGATGTCCCAGAGAGAGGCACTGGCAATGCAATCCTAGAACGCCACAGAGTTTTGGAAACACATTGGCCAGAGAATGAAGATTCATTTATAAGCTTCGAGAAGAGGATTGCTCGGTACCAAAAGAACTTGCAGCGAGCTCGGCAGCGAAAGCATCGGCAAAGACAAGTCGTTCAAGAGAAACGATTGAGTGCTGCTGGAGAAAGTTCCAGCAGCGACTCTAGCAGTGACAGCAACTCTTCGTGAGAGCAAAGGTCGTTAGCAAATGTGTGGAGCTCTTCTCACTTTAGGACAGGCATATGTTTTTCCAAGCGTTTCAACAACATTCAGAGGTATATGGATTTTCATTTGGCAGTTGAAGCGGCGCGCGTGGAATTGCGACTTAGCAACGGTTTTGGGCAAAGGACTTTTGATAGACCGTCATTTAACATTTTGCCAGAAAGACTTCATGTTCAACATTCAGTTCGAGTTTTGGCGTCCTAGATGGGAAGACCAACTTCGATGGCAATGGCAGCCTTGAAGAAGCTAGCGCTCCCTGCAACATGTGACGTGAAAAGTGACGTTGAGAAGCTCTGTTTTTTGGCCGGCGGCGGCGTGGTGGAGAAACCGACATTAACTTCAAGCCCAAACTTGAACTTTCTGGTGACGGTGATTGGGCATCGCACAAGGCTTCAACTAATCATCGTCGCGAGCTGCATTTATAGCCCCTGCAGGGCCAAGACTTGAGATGCATTGTCAAGCATGGAAGCAGAGATTCTCTCAAGCGCAGGTTTGGTGTCAGAAGGCCTTCAGACCAGCAGCGCCTGCATCTCTTGGCTGGGTTAGAGTGCAACTCGAAAGTTTGCATGGACCTTGCGACCCGAATTCTCTGGGGAACACATGGGTAAAAGACGTGGCTGGTTTGACGTTGGATGGATTTCAACACAACGCACCCCAGCTGACTTGGATACAAAGCTGTTGCCCAAAGAGCGTCGTGGGCAGTTGTGCAATGAAGATTGGCTTCGATTCTGCGTCTTACCAGGAGCATGATCAACTACCCCTGCATCTTGGACAGATGGCGCGACTTTTGCAGTTGGCGACATCAGACTCTTCAGTCATGGCACCTTGGACGGTGGCGATACACCTTGTGACGGTGAGTGGAGTTGCGATCCAGCGACTATGGAAGAAGTTGATGGAGTTGGTTCATTTCAAGATCATCTTCACCAAATTTCGGGCAGAATTTGACGCATGGTGAGCTGATTCAGCATGATGAAAGTTATGATCGATGGGTGAGCGTGGCTGCAGCTACATCAGAGACTGAGTGCAGCGCAGGCCAAGATGATCGCGAGGATCAACTTTGAAAGGGCGCAGGAGATGGCGACTGCGCGCGTAAAGAAGAAGAGGAAGCAGATCCACGATGCGCCGTGACCTTGGAAAGACGAAGATCAAGAAGAAAGACAAGAAGAACCAGGGCCAGCAGACTATCCTGGTCATACACATGTTCCAGCGTTGCGCGAGCTGATGAGTTTCTTGACTGACGCAGCATCTCGAATCAAAACAGCTGGCTTCAATGACTACAGATGGTGTTTGCTTGCGCAAGGTCGATGCCCAGAACTTGAATTCGTGGCGATGCGTCGACAGGTGGCAAGGTTGATCCGTCAGATTGAGAAACAGGAGGAGAAAGTCGAAACAAGAGAACGAGTATGTTACATGTTGAAGAAGGCGAAGATGGAGGCAACCAAGAGTTTCTTTGAAAGCTTCGGATCGTGCGCTACAGGATGATGCAGACGGTGAGTTCTATGTACGCAGCCATCCTGGAATTTGATGCAGGTGTGCGCATGTTGCGCGCAAGTGGCAAGAGAGCGGCGCTACACTCGACTTCTTTGATGACTGGGCGGGCAAGCGTCGTGATACCCGACTATGAGAAGCTGGCGGCGCCGGCGCGACCAGCGTCTTTGCAAGTGAAGAGGGCGCAAGTGAAGTTCTTCGAATCATTGGCCGCCGAACAGAGGCCACAGTCAGTCAGAGTTAGAGACCAAGCTTGCTCAGGTGGAGCAAATCGATAGGTTGGAATGCGATGGCCGAGATTCCAACCGAATCTTTCACCGAGAGCCATGGTGGAGCAAATGAATCCGCCGACGTGGAGGCGGAGGAAGTGGCAGTGGAAGAAGAAACGCCAACAACCAGAGCAAGTTTCAGGAAGTTTCAATTTCAGTTTTTGCTCCAAAGACGAGTTGACAGGCTTTAAATCATGCACGTGAGAGAGACAACGCGAAAATTATTTGGAGGCGGGGTGTCAGATTTGGGCATGACCCCAGCACAAGGATGACGCGCACAGACAAATAGACATAGAAGTGCACAAGGCCGCAGCCAGTGGCTCGAAAACAGAAGAATAACCTGACGGTGGCTTTTGTCAAACCAATCTTTGTTTCAACGCTTCGCGCTATGTGGTCGTTCTGAGGTGTTGTGTTTGGTTCGCCAGCGTTGGAAGTGCCAATGCCACCGGAGGCCAGAAAACTCAAGTTGACTTCACGCGCGGTCCATTTATGGAAGCAAACTGTGCTGTCACTTTGTGCCTATGCTGTCCTTACAAGGAGTCGAGAACATACCAAGTTTCCGCAGCAGTGGGCTTTGACTCAGCAATGGCAATGGGCTGCATACATTACTGTACACCAGTAGTATGTTCACATATGTTCATATCAATGTTTGTGGAGGAGGATGTCTCGGTGTATGTAAATCAGGATTGATGTATTTATATATATATATATAGCAAAAACATTCCCAATTACATCAAACATTCCATTGCTGGATTACGACTGGGCCGTATGCTGACACTGACCAGGACACTGGCCGGTTGAATCACGTCAATCATTGATGGCTTCTGGAGACTCCTATGTAAGGCTGACATTCAAGAGAACAATGGTTGGCGGTGATGTTTCCAAATTTATTTTGATTTTTGGTCAGTCAAAGATCTAGACTTGAGACTCAAAGGTTGAATGCAACTATATACCAACGTTAGAAGCAGGTGATCTAAGAAACAGCAACCAGAGGGAGAAAGAGAGAGGGAGAGAAAAAATACACAACAGAAGAACCACCACCTGTACTAAAGTAACAACATCCAGAAAGGTGGACGCGTACGGTGAAAAGTTGCTGTATGAGTCTAGGACGCTATCGCGTCGCTAAAGTGACTGGTAAGCCTTGGACAAGGATCGAACCTCAGGATCAGAGCTGGTCAAACTGTAGAGTGTGCCAATTTTTCCAGCGCCAATTTCATGAATGACATTCAGTCTTGTGCTAGTTTAGAAAGGAGAAAGTGTGATTCTTCATTTGGTGTGTAGAGTCACCTGCTCAAGGCCCGCATGGAGGATTTCACTTGCGCAATCCCCTGTTGTTTGTGCCTGTGTTGCACTGTTGGACTTGTTGTTCTTGTCATGCTGACGCAGATGCCACATCCTCAGACGAACCTCGTTGCATGTGGGCCGCGTTATGTTTGACAACAAAAGATTGTTTGAACAATAACAGACAAAAGTTGAACTAACGTGAAATAACCGCAAAGAAAAGAACAACCGCAAAAGGACTCTCACCGGAGTTGCAACAATCTTGCCCAGGCTGGGATCAGCGATGCCTATTCTTGGCATGGTACTTCCAGCTGTGTGTTTTGGCGGCTTTTCATATATTTTAATCTACATTGAATGACAAGCTCCGTTTTTGTTTGGGGGTAGTTGCCCTGTGGGGGGTTATGGGTAGGGAAGTAGGTGCTGCCGAGCTGACACTACAATCCGCTGGAACATAGAGCGTCATGGACCATCCTGCACATGCCACGCCCTAGGTTTGCCGTTCTTGGCTGCGCTGTAGCGGGTTGTGGTTGGCTTCACGAAGCTCGAGTTGTCTGGGACTCGCTACTATGCTGTGTTGCGGACAACACCGAGAAAACTGTCTGCCAAAGAGGGAAGAATTTTGAAAATGAGTCCAATTGCACTGACTTTGCAGTAAACTTTCAGCACCTTTCCGCGTTTTTGCCTCCTTCACCCTGCATTGGCCAAGGGGGCAAAGTGATGCTTCGATAATTTACGTCGTGCTAATCTCTTTCAATCGAACATGTAACATAAGATGGCTTGAGCGGGCTTTATCTCAAACGAGATGAAGGATGTTCAAATGTACAAAGCCAAAGTGACGAGAAACCTACGGTGAGCCAGTGTACGAAAAAAGTGGAAATTGCAAATCCATTCAATCAAACAGACTTGATTGGATGCTTAGCAGAGAAACTCTCTCAGCATGATTGATTGATAGGTTCTTGAATTCTGTTGCTGCAGGCAGTGTCATGCCTTCTTCGCAACTTTGTGTGGTGCTCAACGATATCTGCCGCAAAGCAGCTGTAGCTAGGGGGTGTTGCGAGATCATGTAGTTATGCCATCGCCACGCACAGTTGCGCACATTTGGTGAATCCTGGGAGCACTCTCGTTTTGATTTGGCACATTGATGCACATTGTAACGACCGAAGCAGCTGCTACAGAACTGCTTTCTTTATCCAATCTCATTCAGCCATGTGCCATGTCACAAATGTACACAAGTCCCAAAGCCCCTTGTTAGCAATTTTACCATACTCCCCTGGTCATTCCAAGGGGCTGGGCCAAGAGTAAGTTTCCTTTTTTACTTGTTTTGAATTTCTCTTTCGTTAGCTGAGCAGGGCCTACGGCTTACAGCTCCTGGTCTATTCCTGGGGAATGGACATGTTCATGCAGCTTCCGGGGCCCGGTAACTCCACTTCCTCATTGGTCTGGAGTCTGGAGGAGTGTAGAAGCTTCTGGCAAGTTGGTCTATTCCACCAGCCTTTTCAACTTTGATTTAGTTCACTCTATGTTGCCCTTCTAATCACACAGTGACACTTGATCGGTGAGCTTGGAGGTTGTCCCATGCTTTTCGCGCTACTCCATGCCAGCATTTCTGAGCTCCAGCAGCAAAGTTCAGTACAGCCACTCATATCTTCTCAGCACCTCAGCTGAAAGGCAGTTGTGCCAGAGCTAAGCATCATAAGTGTGTTTTCTTGGGTGTGCCGCTAAGAGGAGGGGGATACACGAAGCTTGTAGTTCAGTAAGGTAAGAAGTAGCCATGGGACGCACAAGAACATTTGCATCTAAGCGTGTTCCCTTTCATTTTCAGTCGTGTCAATGGTTTCAAGATGTTTCAAGATACTTTGTTGTGATCATGGGAGAGAGCCATTGTTTGTTTCCAGTCTCTCTCTCTCTATATGTGTGTGTTTCTGTCTCTGTATTTGTCTCGCCTCTTCCTCTCGCCCCCACTCCCAAAAGTCATGGTTCAATCAGGACCACTATCACAGTGCTTCTCGTTTTCGGGAGCCTTCGTAGTCAACAAGGCGATCCCAAGCAGAAGATGTTTGCAGAGATGGAGATGCGTGACGACCCAGAACGGTTTCCTGGAGTAGGACGCTCTCTTTTTTTTAATTCAGAAGAGGCCAGGACTCCTTGAGACCCTCGGGTCCAAAAAGAGATGCACACCAAAGGTATAAAGGGCCCTTTAATAGGGGCCCTCATCCGATTTTTTGTTCATCTCTTTTTAGACCAGAAAGGTCTGGCCGATTTTGTGCTGATTCAGGCTTTTTACGGGTGGCATGGGTGCCTTTGGCATGTAGGACTCGGTTGGCCGCGCAACATGCGCTGGGGCACAGCCGGAGCCTTTTCCAAGATCTTCTCAACCATGGACAAGGACAGACAGACAAAGTTGAGAAATGACTAGGACTTGTATAAGTCAATGATATGTAAACAGAATTCAATGTACTGTATTTCAGTATATGTGTAACTTGAAACTTCAAAAGCCACGGCGCACTCCATTCGCAGGATATGACAGAAGTAACGTTTCCCTTTGTGGTGATTCACGACCCAGAGGAGCATGATGGAGCATGGGAGTTTGCAGGGTAGACTTTAGTGTTGCTGACACAATACGTTGACAAAGCAGGGGCAAGAGCAGAGGCTGTAGAAGTCCGAGGTAGCTTAAAGTATATTGAACACCTTGTTGCTTCTTGATGCAGTTCCAAGCTCATTTGCTGTCTTCTGAGGACAACGTTTGCCTTATCGAAGGCTCTGAGAAGCTTATGGAACGCAGTCCAAGTGCGGACAAGAAGCTGTGCCGTATGGAGACAGGTGGCAATTCTCAAGCAGATAGATTCAGATAGTCAGATTGACGTGAGGAGTGAATAGCATGAATGACACAAGATACTTAACACGCAAGCGTGTCCTCGGTGACTCAGATTCTTTGCCACACAAGCAAAACTTGGATATTTAGCCAAACAAGTGTCGCCAGCCACTCTGACGCAGTCACGTTGGAAGCCCAGCTGCCAGGTGGATTCCATGTCATTACCTTTGTAGACCAAGAAAGATACGTTCTGCTCTCAGCCGGTTGGTGCCAGCAAGCCTCCCCAAGTCCAACTTCTCTCAACTCTGCAACAGCTGGATTTTGCAATGTTCATTGTATGGGGGGTGTACCTTACTTAAATAAATCCAGGGAGTGCTCAAAGGTGAGGCGAAATGCAAATTCTGGGTGGGCGGCAGGAACCCTTTGCGGAGATCGTGCGTGTCAAGTGCTCAAACGTGTCGAGTGCTCAAACGTGCGAAAACGAAGGTGGAGGTTGCCAAAACCGTGTGACTGTTGCCGAGAACGACGGTGGTGGTTGCCAAAGTGTGTAACTGTCGTCGAAAATGGGGTGGATGTTATATACATATATATGTAATAAATATATATATATATATACATAGGATGTAGTACATAATCCTGGGCCTCATAACATTGTCATGGCTTTGCTCGAACTTTGTCATGGCTTTGTTAAACAAACCTTTCACACTTGAGTCGAAAAAAAAATCCCGGGAATATGTATTAAGTAAGGAATGTTCCCAGAGGTTCAGAAATCGCTTGGCCACCGCTTGGTAATCTGGTGTTTAAAGTGGGTATGTTACCTCGTCGCGCTAGCAAAACGCAGGGTTGCGCAAGGTTCGCGCTAGGTTTGGCGCTAGGATCAAGTACTTAGGTAACTTAGAAAAGATTAACAAACAAGAGCTGATTGTAACGGTCACTCATTGGTGCACATACACACACCCGCACAGGCACAAGAGCAGCAACTGTTTGAAAGGCAGCGCGCGCTGAAAAAGGTAGCAACTGTTTGAAAGGGAGTAACTGTTTGAGAGAGACGAGAAAGCGAGTTCTTGATCACAGACGTTTGGTGGCCTCATGCACTGGCAGGGAAGCGCGCTAGACCCGCGCTAGATCCGCGCTAGACCCCTTTGCAACTTTGACCACTTGTCCAAGTGCTTTCCAGGGTGTATAGTCTTGGCAATTTGTTTCTGTGTGCAAGAGGATGGCTACTTTCAGCTTCACATTTGGAACCATTGGACTCTGTAAGTAAGAACGCAGCTGTTAAAAGGGCATACACAACATACAACCATATACATGAGCGCATGTTGGGTACATGATGGCCACCGCTTGGAATTGCTGTGATTTCAACCTAGGATAATGATTGTATAACGGTTTTTTTCCAACTCACTTGGGGGCGAGAAGGTGAGGCGTAACAAGTGATGTGCTTGTGGCTGCAGTTTCGCACACGTTTCCTGCAAAAGTGCAACCTTTTCTTTCTTCGAACGCCCTGCCTCTTGCAAGGCATGCAACCTGGTTTATGGATGTTTATGGTGTGCGGTGTGCTTGTTTAACTTAGTATGTTTCTTACTTGGAGATCGCGGGGTGAAGGGAGGTATTTACTTGGTTGCTGCTGATAGGACCACATTGTGAGCAATCGCTGCTCCTTGGTAGTTAGCAGCACGTGGTAAATGATTTACTAGATATTGATATTGCTAGGAAAAATATAGCAACAAATAGGACACAGTTGCATGTAGTGGTACTTACTAGACATACAAACACGAACGACCAGTAGCTGCAATTGGTAATCATGCAACTTACAGTAATTCTTCGCACAGGTGGGACACCAGGCATCCTGGATGAAGCAGCATTTACTCTGAGCTTCGGCGGATCTAGGGCCATTCAGAAAAGGTCACCGTTGGACCAAGAGTCAGGCCAGGCAGCCAGGCCATCGAGTGTTGAACAAGACACCTCAAAAGATCCTCAAAGCACCTTCTCTTTTGCCTTCCAAAAAGGGTACATAAGTCTAAGTGATCATAGGCGTAAGGTTTGCCTTGGGCATGCTTACTGAAAAAAGATTTGGCTGCCGAGTGAAGCCAGTTCATCTGATCTCACCTTGACAGTTCCGAACAGGTGGAGGAGTCTTGCAAAGGAAGCCGATGAAGCCCTGTTCTGCCAGAAAAATGACCGTCCAGGAATGGAAACTGGTTGATGAAGGAGTGCAGGTTCAACGTCAAAGACCAAGAGTGAGTGATTAGGTTCTTGTCTCAAGAAGCGTTTCTTGTTTTCAGTAGTGATGGGTAGTTGGATTGGAAACACTCTTGTAGGGAGCAGTAAGGGGTTTACTAAGAAGGAACTTAAGACCAAGGAGACTCATGGCTTCCCTAGAGCCAAATCAATCATGCCAAGATATGCAAAGGGTTCTTCAAGTTGGCAGGAGCTTTTCCCTTCTGCGTCCCTGTCGCCTAGTATCCAAGCCTAGTAGCTTCTTGTTAGCTTCGATGTTGATCCTTCTTACGGTCTTCACGGGCCAATGCTCCCTGAAAAAATACCAGGTGAGGCCAAGGCCTTTGAGTGGTCTAAGTGGTATTGAGGTGCGGCTTTGGAAGCCTCCTTCGAAGATGCCCGGCTAGAGGCCGAAGCTTCCTTCATGGGAAATAAGTGTCTCATGGCGCTACTATATAAAGTACACCGCAAGGCAATCTTGTGCGCAACGTGTGACACAACTTTTGCATGTTTCTTTGTTCCTTCTGCAGAAAAGGACTTTCAAGGAAAGATTATTGTCAATATTTGTCAATTGCCTCAAGAGCGTCATCAAATGATGTCGCAGACAAACCGGACAAATAAGCACTTTTGTAGGTCGAACATCAGACACGACGTCGCTACATGGCAGAGCATGCGTTGGTGACGGCGCGCAGTGAAATAGGCGCTGGGTTTCCGCTTGATTTCGTCTCAGTCACATGGAAATAGGCAGTTGTACAAAAGAGCAGGAGTTGTTGCTTTCAGAGACAGTCCCAGAAACCACTTCTGATTGCATCTCCACCCACCCTAAAGAACATCTTGTCTTAGGCTGCCTAAAAGCGGCCCAAGCCGCCATGCAGGCCACATTCAATCGGGATGGCATAAATCAGTCCACAGTCGCAGTTGTTCGTTGTGCGAGGTTGAGCAAGAAGGTTGGCAGCAGCGAGAGGACCATATAGCTTTTTCTGTTTATATGTTTATTCACGTCGCTTCGCGACGGTAACCGCCCGCACCGGATGGAAGGGGACAATACATCCACCGAGTCCCGGAAGGAAGCCCGAGCTGCTTGTGCTCTTGGAGCCAAGGGAGTGAGTATGAAAGGAAGTGTCCGACATAGCGTCCATATTGTCGGCCCCAGAACGGCTCCCCCCAACATGGCTGAACATAGCTTCCATATCGCCTGGAACGTCGCAAATATAAGGTCCAACTGGAGCAGAGAGAAGCAGAGTCATCAGGGGAAGGGATGATGTGGTATTCGATGGTTCAAGGGCCTTTTCAAGTAATCGTGGCTGCTGAAGGGCCGCCACCACTGCCGGAAGTATCACGATGGGACGGTTGACCCTGGCAATTTCGTTTCCTTTTCAAACAAGCTTGGGCTCAAAGACCGCAGCCATTTAGGGGCCGATGCCGCAGAGCCGGTCAAGGATCTGTAGGCGGGAGGTGTTTGCAGTATGAAACGAACATGGCAGACGATGACATGGTGGAACACGTGCAATGCAAACAGTATGGGGTTGTTGATCCCGGTAGGGTTCGCTGTCCTTCTCAAACAAGCTTGGGCTCAAAGACTGCAGCCATTTTAGGATGGGTTTCATCAAGGCAGGAAATGGTCCATTTTTTGAAACGTAGGCAGAGTGCTGCCGAAGGGTCGCCACTACTATCAGAAACGGGTTCTTGTGCTGCAGCCATTTGGGTATGGGATGACGCTGTGATGCAAGAAGTTGTGTTTACGTGAAATATGGCACGAAAACGGGGGATGGCTGCGTCTTTGTGCCGCAGGCATGGAATGGACCGAAGCAAGGCAGCTCAGGAGCGAAGACGTGTAGGGAAGATGTTTTGTTTGTGCTTGTTGCTGGCAGCAGTAGTCATGTTTTCGAGGCAGTCGCTGTGGGTACTGCAGAAGGCGAGAGGTGTAGAGGCAGAAGACCAGCGAGATGGATGCAGCGAATGATGCAGTTGGGCTTCACAGCTGAGGCAGAGGGTAAGGCAAGAGAAAAAGAAGCATTCCATGTAGGGCAACAGTATCATTCAAGTATCGGAGGGAGAGACAAAGACAACTACATACTTGAATTTTTTGAGTGAGTGCTGACGAAGGAACTTGTGCTCTTGGAGCCGAGCGATTTTGTATCAGCTGACGCAGGAACTTGTGCTCTTGGAGCCGAGTGATTGTGTTCGGGTAGCGCGAAGTGATGGCGACATTGGTGGCATACAATCACCGGGTGGGCAGTGTGCCTCTACAAGACCTGTTTCCTGGTTTTGCCTTTTCAGAGCTCCGGACTCTCTATGTGAGGCTGCGTGAGGGCCCAGTAGAGCGGCAAGATGTCGCTATGTCCGTGCGGGTCTGTCGGGTGGATCGTTTCATCGAAACGATTCGGGAACCGCGGCTCGTGAGTGACGGCTACGTCGCTGCCGTGTGTTTGGGCGAAGTCGCACTTCCGGAAGACGGGCAGGAATGCGCTAGCCTGATTGGGCGGCATGACCTTCTGTTGGCGAAGATAAAGGAGGCGGGGCAGTTCGCTGCAGAAAATCGTGTGCCGGGGGTCAATCGGCAGCATGTGCGGAGGCTGGAGGCCGCTGCTATATAGGTTTCTGCGTGAGATGAGGAGTTTGGAGCCTGGTCTTTTGACATTGACAGAAAACCCAGTGTTTAGAGTGTCTATAGCAGAATTTTTGGGCCCGGCGGAGGGGTCGGCGGAAAGAGCGAACTTGGCAACCTGGATTACCAGTGTGCCTCGGGTGCAGACCGGCTGGATTCCTATGGGCGGCATGCGGGCTTCACCTCAAAGTATGGTGACGCTCCTGGGGCAGTTGCAGAAAAAGCTGCAGCAGACAATCCGGGAGTCGGAAGATGTGGGGGGCCCGTATCCAGCAGTCGTTCGGGATACGGTGAAGCCAAAGCGCAGTGGTGTGGAGGTCACCCGCCTTTTGTTGATGAGTGAAGAGCGAAACCGAGACTGGAAACTGAAGATGATTTGGGTTTGTGCAATGGACCAGGTGCGCGCCTGGATTGAGATGCCAGAGAGTGATTTGTACCAACGAGGCAGCGTGCACTTGGTACCGAACGTGGGCAATTTTCGGCAAGACCAAGTTTCTTTGCAACCTGTGGTGAACTTGGAGCGGGGGTCGCAGGTGGTGGTGGTGATCTTGGCAGACATCCACGAGTTCATCCACATGTACGAGGCGTTGGTGAGGTTGAGACCAATGCTGGAAGGAGATGTTGGTAGTTTAGCTGCAACGTCAAGTGAGGGTTTGGCAGGCTTGCGAGCCAATGCTTTCAATGCTTGGCTGGGTCTGAACCAGCCAGTGACCTTTGTCCTCAGCTCGGTCTGGGATCGTTATTTGGGACCCCAGCGGGATGTATTTCTGCAAGGGGTAGCGGCGGAGCTGGGGATCGTGGGCTTCTCCGCAAATCAATGTCGGGTGCTGTCCGAGATCCAGGGCTGGTGGGGGCAAAACAACCTTGCTGGCTGCTGTCACCGTGCAGCTGACAAGCAGCCGAAATCAAGATCCTCCGCTGGTGGTGTTCAATGCTCCTGCCCTGAAAACGGCGCAAGGCTTCGCAGAGCGACTGGAGAAGATCGGAGAGTGAGGGTTCTGGTGCTTGGAGTGGAGAAGGAGGGAGAAGTAGATCTGTTTGAAGAGAGATGTGCGGCCATTGCCACGGAGGTTTTTGAGAGACACCAAGAATTCTATGATGCAGTTGATGAACTCTTGGAATTGGTGCCAGCGGATCGTTTGGACGTGATCAGCATCGTGCTGGGATGGCGTTTCATTCATCTGCAGAAGGTTGTGCACGATGCAATGCAATTGGAACAGCAAAGGCATCTGGATGCAGTTCAGTGTGTGGCCTGTACCACCTCTTTTATGAGCAAAATGGCTGGCAACGGCGGCTGGGAGAGACGTTTCCGTGGACGTCGCAGGCAGGCTGTAAGGAACGTGATAAGGTGGTTTTAAGTAGGTGCTAGAAAAAATGAGCCATCTCCCTTGGTACTCTTTGAAACCGACACAAACACCACGGTGCACTTGTTTGATTGTCCACGACCGGAGAATGCACAAACGTATTTGAGTTTCCAACCTGGAGGCGTCTCTTCCGGCGGTACCTGCTGCGGATACTGCCAGCGCGGAGATCGGTGACACGGGCAAGGCATGGCAAGTCGACACCGGAAATTGCCTGCTCATGTCGTCATTGGCGACGGTTGTTTTCGTTGCTGCACCTGTAGCTGCGTAGTTGCACTGGTAAGTGATGTGCCACCACTAAAAGTATTTCCAGAAGGGTTCTAACCTGGAGGTGTCTCTTCCGGGAGTACCCGCGGCGGATACTTCCAGCGCGCCCATCGGCAACAGGAAGGTATTCGGACCTTCCATGGATGGGACTATTTGCAGGCGCCCTGGCCAGTGCTGTGCCATCACTCTGTGTCCTGCTGCTCAGGATTTGTTGCAGTACTTTCCAGCACGGTGGCGAACTAAGGTTTCAATCTCCCTGGCAATTCAGGTAGTTCACGTTCTTTTCCCCATCTAGATTTGCACGAGTCTACAAGGTTAACACGTCACGGGACGTGATGTAACATGGTGCAGGTGATTCGAGCTATACTGAAAAGAGAGCATGTTTCACCCTGTAGATTGAGTCGGCGCGCGCATTTGG